CCACTGAGCCACAGGCGGTTTGCATGGGTGTGTGAGTCACTGGGGCTGCATGCTGCTCAAACCAGACGCGGCCAGGCTCAGGGACAGCAGGCAGCCCAAAATAGAGCCCCGCCCTCTGCAGCTGGCAACCCCTGGCGGGGAATCAGCCCTTAACACCAAAACCTGAGCGGTTGCGTGAAGTTGGCTTCCTTAGGGAGGGGGCCTTAACGGATTCTCTCCTTCCCTATCTTCAGAGGAGAGTATTCAGCATAGCCAGTCATTCCCGTTGCTGCAGGCTGCATGCCTTGTAAGATTTAAATTAATCTGTTCGGTATAGTGCCTTCACCAATGTCTATTATGTGGTTATAGTTATGTACCTATAGGTAGCATTGATTTGACTCAGCGTCCTAAATGTAGCCTTGTGTCCTGTCTAGTTTTAAGTTACTGTGTTCATTCTCTGTCTGGTTGCAGCCCGATGCTAGAGCAGATGCTTCAAGTTGTGAAGATACTCACTGCTGCTCTTAGAAAGCTAGAGGTTATATCAGTGATCCCTGGGGAAGATGATCTTTTAACCTGGAATCTGCTGTCCTGTTGAGTTCATTCACAGATAGCCTCTGCTTGGTTTCCTTGGCCAGTGTTCCATTCTTTACCTGCCCCTTAAATGTTAGTGTTACTCAAGATCCTGTCCTTATCCACTCACCCTTCCCTCTCTGGGGCATCTCATCCAGACCCCAGTTTCAACTGTCGCAAGTACACCAGTGAGTGCCAATCTTATGTCTCTGCTATGCTGCAGCCGATATTTTTTTCTGCACATTTGACATGTCCACCTGGATGCCCCACATGCAATGCCCTAAACTTGTCCAAAAGAAACCATCTACTCCCCTAAACCCATTTCTCTTCCTATATTCCTTATCTTGGGGAATCGTACCAGTATCCGTTCAGCTTTCTAAGCTAGAAACTTGACAGTTACCCATTTTTGTCTTTGTCCTTACTTTCAAAGCCTAACTTGTCAACTCTCTTTTGAATCTGCTCTTCTCTATTCCGGCGTTCATTGCCTTAGATTAGCACCCCCACCCCCGTCCCCCTTTTATTGGTTTGACCTTCCAGTAGCGTCCTAGCTTGTCACTCAGTCAGTCCTTATTCCCCTCCAGTTGAATTTGCGTTCTGTCAGAGTGGTCTCTTTGAAACAGAAACAGAAAACCAGATTGCTTAGAGTCATTTAGGGGTTCCCGGTTGCCTACAGGATAAAGTTCAAACTCCTTGCATGGCACACAAGGTCATTCACACAAGGTCATGGCATATGATTTGGTCCTCTTGACCTCTGCAGTCTGATCCTCTGTCACTCTCCCACACTGAAGTCTTTATTTTATTTATTTTATTTAGAAAAATTTAAAAATATTTATTTAGTTTTGGAAGAGTGCAAGCAGGGGAGGGGCAGAGAAAGGGGGACAGGATCCAAAGCGGTCTCTGCACTGACAAGCTGACAGCAGCCAGCCCAGTGTGGGGCTTGAACTTATGAACAGTGAGATCATGACCTGAGCCGAAGCCGAAGTCAGACACTCAACGGACGAAGCCACTCAGGGGCCCCTACCACACTGAAGTCTTAATGCCCATACATCTCTTGACCAACTTGCCTGGTATTCTTTTCTGTCTCGTCCTCGTGGCAGATTCCTATTTAGCTTTCCTGACTCTGCACAGACATCATCTCTTTTGTGTTTTCCGTGACAGTTTTTCCTTTCCGCAGTCTGCTCTCCTTTCAGGCACAGGGACACTATCCTGCTATTCCCACAGCCTCTTGTACATATCTCTGCCATGGCATTTGGCATAAGGGAGGATATGGAAATGAAAAAGAAGGATGGGGGGCAGGGAAAATTGAGTTCGCTGATCTTTTCTCATTTAGGCTTTTCCTTTATAATGCTTGTTAATCCTGCGGCACCTGGGTGGCTCAGTTGGTTACGTGTCCAACTTTGGCTCAGGTCATAAATCTCGTGGTTCATGGGGATGAGCCCCACGTCAGGCTCTGTGCTGACAGCTCAGAGCCTGGAGCCTTGGCATTCTGTGTCTCCCTCTCTCTCTGCCCCTCCCCCAATTACGCATTCTCTCTCTCTCTCTCTCTCTCAAAACTAAATAGACATTAAAAAAATTTAAATATAATGCTGGTTAATTCCTTCTCAAGATTTTCTTCACATGGCTTCTGTAGTATGATACTGTCCTGTCCTTCATCCTACTTCATTGGTTGCTCCATCTCCAAACCGCTTGCTGGTTCTTCTCCCTTATTACCTCTTCATGTTGGAGTGCCCAGCATTCAGTCCTTGGTGCTCTTATATTTTTTCACTCACTCCTTTAGTGATCTCATGTAGTCTGTGGCTTTGACCACCTTGTTGATGAATCCCGAATTTAATTTTTATTCTTAGACTTTCCCCCCAGACTCTGGGCTGCCTGCTCAACATATCCGCGTGGAAGTCCGCCAGAGTGTCAAACTCAATGTGTCCAAAACTGAACTCCTAATCTTACCCCCAAATTTGCTTTTCCAACAGCCTCCTCATATCTTAGTTGATGGAAACATCATTCTTTCACTTGCTAGGGCCATAAACTTTGGAGTCATCCTTGACTTCTTTCTCTCACATCCTGCCTCTAGTCCATCAGGATCTCCTGTTGGCTCTTCCTTCAAAACACATGCGTACTTTCACCTCTGCTGCTACCCTTCTGGTCTGAGCCATGTTTGTCTCTTTCTTGCATTATTGCAGTAACCTCCTTACTGGTATCCCTGCTGCTACCTATGCCTCCTTCTGGCCCATTACCAACAAAGCGATCTTATTAAAACACAGATCACATCATGATACTGCCCTGCTCAAAGTCCTTCATATTGGCTTCACATTACACTTATAGAGCAAAATCCTACATGATCTGGACCTTGTTACCTTTCTTTTTTTTTTTTTAATGTTTATTTATTTTTGAGAGAGAGAGACAGAGCATGAGCAAGGGAGGGGCAGAGAGAGGAGACACAGAATTGGAAGCAGGCTCCAGGCTCTGAGCTGTCAGCACAGAGCCCGACGTGGGGCTCGAACTCACGAACCACAGGATCATGACCTGAGCCGAAGTTGGATGCTTAACCGACTGAGCCACCCAGGTGCCCCATGGACTTTGCTTGTTACCTTTCTGACCTCATCTCCTACCACTTTCTCCTTCTTTTACTCCACTGCATCCACACTGGCCTTGTGCTGTTTTTCTAACTCTCTCTGACTACCACCTGCTTTTAGTCCTCTTTGCAGCCTGTTTCCTCTGCCTGGAATGCTCTTTCTTCAGATATTTGTGTGGCCAACTCCCTCACTTCCTTTTTGTCTATATTAATTATCTACTGGGGCGCCTGGGTGGCCCAGTTGGTTAGGCGACCGACTTCGGCTCAGGTCATGATCTCACGGTTCATGGGTTCGAGCCCTGCGTTGGGCTCTGTGTTGACGGCTCAGAGCCTGGAGCCTGCTTCGGATTCTGTGTCTCCCTTTCTCGCTGCCCCTCCTCCGCTTGTACTCTGTCTCTCTCTGTCTCTCAAAAATAAATAAATGTAAAAAAAAAATTTAGTTATCTACTTCTTTATAACACATTACTCCAAAATGTCATAGTTTAAAACAACAAACAGTGTTGAGGGTCAGGGATTTGGAAGCAGCTTAAGCTGAGTGATTTCTGGCTCAGGGTCTCCCATGAAGTGGCAGTCAAGGTGTTGGCTGGGAATGCCATTATCATAAGGGGCTGGAGATTTCACTTCCAAGCTCTCTCATGTGGCTGTTGGCAGGAGGTGCCATTGCCTTGTCATATGGCCTCTCCATAGGGCTGCTCACATTACATGGTCCTGGCTTCCTCCAGAGCAAGTGATCCAAGAGACAGACTAAGACCAAAATGGAAGCTGCAGTCTTTTTACAACCTAATCTCAGAAGTGACAGCCCATCACTATCTTACTGTAATCCCTTCATTAGAAGTGAGTCACTAAGTTCAGGCCACACTCAATGGGAGGGTAATTAAGTTACACCTCTTAAGGGGAGGTGTCTCAAAAATATAATACATGGTTTTGTTCAAATGTCACCTTCACAATGGAGTTTACCCTGAGTATCCTATTTAAAATTGCAAGCCACATCCTTGCCCCTCTGTACATGGCACTCCCATTTCATTTTTACCAAGCTCTACTTTTAATTTTTTCCATAGCACTCACTTTCAACATATTATAAAATTTCCTTATTTCATTATATTCATCATTTATGGTGTCTTCCCCCTGTTAGAATGTGTAAGCTCAGCAAAGACAAGTATATATGTTTTGTGCACTGGTTTATCCAAAGTGCATAGAACAGTGCCTCTACACACAGTAGGCATGAAATAAATATTTGTTGAATGGATGAATGAATTTATCTTCCCACTCCTCTTTATTTTCCCTACCTTATGAATAGGCCGTGAAATGATCACCTGTTGGTAGCCCGAGATCTAGATAGCCCTACTATAAATAGATGAGGAGCCTAAGGAAAGAATTGCTGTCTGATTGCCATTCTCTCACCTGCCTGTTTATTGGGAGATAGTCCCAACTTTGGGATGAACTATCAACCTTGAATCTTTTCTTACTGAGTGACCCCAGAACCTCTTTTTTAGACCAGTTAAGAAATTAAATATCACAAAAACCAAAAGAATAAGAACCTACCAAAATCCTGGAAAGAACATTAGTCATACAGCCAAAAGTAAGTTCTTAAGTTTCCTCTTTCCTCAAATTTTCCTCTCTCTGGGCTCTCCCTCCACAGTTAGAAGGGCTGCCCTGCTACCATATGCCTGGTATTCAGTATGTAGAGGAAGGCACAGGACCCAGTATGCCTTCATGGGCATCGTAAAGAAGGATAAGTCTAGATGCAGGCGACTGTCCTCCCTACCAGCCTGCATGTCAGTTCTCTGATTGAGAGAACCCTGTGGTTAATTCATTCTCCCAGTATTCTCCGTGATGTATATGCACCGTGCCAGGTACTGTGAGCAGACAGGGTATGAGAATATTATCGTCAAAGAGCTTTTGCTGTGCTTAATGAATGGTGATAGGGGCCACGGTAGTGAAGTGATCGAAGAAGCTTCCTGCAAAAGGCAGGACTTGATCTGGACTTCCATGTTTGTTTTCGGTTTCGGTTTTGCTAGGGAACTCAGTGGAAGACATTTTAGCTGGGAAGCACATGGGTGAAGGCTGTAAAATAATGAGTGGGAGAGGATTAGTAGAAAAAAAGGTTAACAAGATAATAACCTCAGGCTAGGTTGTTGGGGGGCCTTAAATGCTGCTCTGGAAGATTGGTACTTCATTCTGAAGGTAAATGCGTTTCAGCTTTTTTTTTTTTTCTGCCGGCATTCCATTTATTTGCCGGTTTGTGTTCAGTTATTAGCATCTATCATTACAGGCAGTGATTCTCAAACCGGCACATCTCCTAGGAAGGAGATGAGCACTTCCTTCTTGTAGTTACTCATTTCTGTCGTAGATAGTGGGAAGCTGTGGAAAGTTTTGGCTGGAGAATTGACATAGGAAAGTGATCTTTGGGAAGATTAGTCTGTCCGTGGTATGCCTATGTGAGCTCAAGAATAGTGGTACTGTTGACAGACTAGGAAAATCATGGGTGGGGCTCAATTAAATCTAATCTTGGGCATACAAAGGAATGGTTTTCCTTATTTAAAACACAAATCCACCAGTATTTGAGCTCTGGAATGAAAATCTCCAGAGAGGAAGGAATGGCTGCATATGTTTCTCAGCTACATTTCTTCGGAATTTTGCCTCCTCTGGGGTTTTCCCAATGTGGTTCCTGTAGTCACTCTTGAGCCCTGCTGCCACCGGCCACCCCCTCTTTTCTTTTGGGCCCAAGGATGTATTAAAAGGCCTGTTTCTTTATTTTCCTTTTACAAAGCATTACAGGGGTTGATGCTTTCCAAAGAAAATTTATCAAAAACCTGAGGGAAAGCAAAAAGGAAATCAACATAACAAATACAAGTGGAATAAAATCACTCATTTCCAAGAGAAGATTTCTGATTGTGGCAATCCTGATAGTGAAGGACTTCATCAGCCTCTAAATTCTCATATCCAAAAGCCTTGAAATCAAGTGTTACTAACTCAGATGACTACAGGGGACCGGCGTGCAACATAAATATGCGTATCAGGCTGGATAGAAGACAACAGAGATTTGTAGGGGTCTGTGGAAAACTGAATTGCGCATGCCCCCTGTGTCTAGACCCAGATAGGCTAGCACAGTTGAACAGACACTGCTCTGGGGGATTGTGTATCGTACTTCATTCAGAGGAAGTTACCAACTCTTCTAAAATGAAAACTGTTTTTGTTTGTTTGTTTGTTTGTTTGCTTAGCTCCACTGAATCCACCATTAGTCTCTTACTTGGTTTCATTCTTATTTCCAGTCTGAGAAATCCACTTGGTTGAGAATTGAGTTGTGAGGCAGTGATGATGGATATCTTATTTCTGGCAAACATCTAGCCTTCTTAGGCCTAAACTCTAAGCTTCTCATACCTCTGGGACATTTGGCAATGATTCACACAGTTGAGTCTCTCTCCTCTTTCCCCAGTAGAGGAAAGGTTTCATCAAAGTCCATTCATTACATTATGGCCATTAAACAGTGCTTTAGTGTATAAAAAATGATGACTTATATATGATCAGAGTTAATGAAAAAATATAAGATGAAAGTCTTTTTCACATACGTGTTGGATTTAAATTGATTGTAGGACCTATAAGTGGTAATGCTCAGGAAAGCACTGACAAAGTGGGTTTGAAGCTTAGGTTGAAAAGACCTATAGAAATAGATCTGGGAGTCTGCTGCAGAGGAGAGATACCTGAAGTCATGAGAGTGGATGCCTGTTTTGCTGGGAAGAGCATGAAGAAAAGAACAAAAGTCCAATGATTGAGATTTGGAGAAGAGTCATAGTTGGAAGGAGTAGTAGGAGCCAGTGAAGGAAGTGCGAGCAGATAGGAGGAGAATCTGAACACAGTAGTTAATTAACCCAGAAAGGGGAACAGACAGTTATCAAGTACATAGGTACATGTGCCAAACACAGTGCCAGGTGGTTTATCTAACTTACAATCCTTAAACAAACCTATGAGGTTGGTGATATTATTTTCATTTGAAAGATAAAGAAGCAGAGGCTCAAGGGCTAAGGAATTTGTTTCAAGTCAACTCACCTGATTTTCTCATATTTGTCTTTACTCAAATCCCGTGCTCTTCTCGTCACCCCAGAGGGTGATCCAGAGCGCCGTCTGCGGGAGAGAGACCAAAGTGAATGAGTGCCTGCCTGCCTGCCTGCCTGCCCGCCAGAGGAAAGTCCATTAGGCAATTTGTGATCTTGGGCAATATCAGCAGATTGCAGGCAGCTAAAGAAGGATCAGTTGATAAGACAGTGGACACAATGGGTATAGAACTCTCATTATTTCATTTCACAATGAAAAGGAATTGAGAGCTGGCTGCTGAGTTAGCTGTGGCTTAGCAGAACCCCTTCTGAAGGTGAGAAGATGCACGTGTGTTTGAAAGCAAAGGAGGAGCCACTGGAACAGCAGCAACGTAAGCTGATAAAGGGAAAATGATAGAGGGAAGCAAGGACCTGTGGAGTTGAGCAGAGTGGGAGAATTAGTCCTTCCTCTGAGATTTGCGGATGGCCTGAAGGCGCAGGTGATGTTTTGAGCAGATGACTTGATCTCGGCCTATTTCCATCCTCTTTCCCCAGGAGATGTTGCCTGTTCATTCAGGAATTTTAAATTCCTTCCCAAGGACTTTTAGCATCAGATGGTTCCATGACTTTTCTGTTACTGACCAAAATAGTGAGACAGCAGTGAAAGTATCAGCTGTATTCTTTCCCTCTTCTGAACTCCTGTGTCACTTTGTGTCTTTTCTGTGTCACTTATCACCGTAGTGCCTTGTATATAGGAGGCACACAGTGATGAGTGGTTATAGCTTAAAGGCCGTGGCATTGGAAGATCCTCTCACGTGGGTAAATGTTGTCTCCGGTTATAGAAATGTGGAGGAAAAACAAAAGAATCAAATGACTTACCTTTAAGCTTTCCTGATGTGTTGGCTTCCTAAGTTTAATTTTTTTTTGTTTCTGAGAGAGAGAGAGAGAGAGAGAGAGAGAGAGAGAGAGAGCACACGAGCAGGGGAGGGGCAGAGAGAGAGGGGGACACAGAATCAGAAGCAGGCTCCAGGCTCTGAGCTGTCACTACACGCTGCTTGGACCCACGAACCATAAGATCGTGACCTGAGCCGAAGTCGGATGCTTAACCGATTGAGCCACCCAGGCACCCCGGCTTCCTACCTTTAGCCTTATGCCTAAAGTGTTCTCTTATTATAGCCTTACTCATGGGTGATATTTCTTTTGGATAGTGAGCCACATTGAAAACTGAGAGACTGAGTCCTGTAGGTTAGCAGTTGAGCAGTCCAGTGTGTAGGGAGCAAGATGTTAGGATTCATGGGTATCCTTGCTTTCTCCCATAAAGGAATTGTCAAGGGAGAGATTGCCATTAAAAATCTCAAGAAACAGTTTTTTCATTTTGTATGGGAAATCTTTAGTCTATTTTTTAAAATTTTATTTGAGAGAGAGAGTGTGTGTGTGAGTGGGGCAGAGGGAAAGAGAGAGAACCTCAAGTAGGCTCCACACTCAGTGCAGAGCCCAGTGAGGGGTTCGATCCCATGACCCCGGGATCATGACCTGAGCTGAAATCAAGAGTCAGACACTCAACCAACTGAGCGACTCAGGTGCCCCTAGTCTATTTGTTTTTATATTTAGAGGTTTAAACTCTATGTAGATGGTACATTTTAAGCACCATTGGAAATATGAAACATTGTGGAATCATGCAGAAAAGTGAAAACGTGGTTTCTGCCCTTGAAAGGTGGACTTTTGAGGGAGATCAGACCACTGGAATTTGCATATATACAAAGGATATTCTAAATACTTAAAATATATGTCACCTCAGAGAGAGAAGAAACAGATTCATTTGCATAGCAAACTAGTTTGGAAGAGGTATTTCCGGAGAGGTAAATCTTTTATTTATTTATTTATTTATTTATTTATTTATTTATTTATTTATTTATTTTTCAATATATGAAATTTATTGTGGGGCGCCTGGGTGGCTCAGTCGGTTAAGCGTCCGACTTCAGCTCAGGTCACGATCTCGCGGTCCGTGAGTTTGAGCCCCGCGTCGGGCTCTGGGCTGATGGCTCAGAGCCTGGAGCCTGCTTCCAATTCTGTGTCTCCCTCTCTCTCTGCCCCTCCCCCGTTCATGCTCTGTCTCTCTCTGTCTCAAAAATAAATAAAAAACATTAAAAAAAATTTAAAGAGAAAACCTCTTAAAAAAAAAAAGAAATTTATTGTCAAATTGGTTTGCATACAACACCCAGTGCTCATCCCAAAAGGTGCCCTCCTCAATACCCCTCACCCACCCTCCCCTCCCTCCCACCCCCCATCAACCCTCAGTTTGTTCTCAGTTTTTAAGTCTCTTATGCTTTGGCTCTCTCCCACTCTAACCTCTTTCGGAGAGGTAAATCTTGAACTAAGAGAATGTAGGGATTTCGTGCGGTGAATGGCTACTGAAGGAAAGACACAACTAGGTATTTTATTCAGTTACACAATCTGAGAGGCTCTCCCTAGGTGTGGTGGTTTGAGGGAATCCTTCAAAAACACTTTGGCTTCTGTTACTCTTATCCTTGAAGCTTGAGCACCTCTGAAACTGTACACTGTCCTCTTAGGATCTTTTACTCCACAGAACCCCTTCCAATTTGGTGTGAGTGAAGCTAGGAATGGGGAGGATCTTTGAGATATGAAATGGGTGAGATTAGCTATCTACAGAAATGATTTACCCTACTGTTTGTAAATATATTGCCTATGAGACTAGGTTACAAGTCTCAGCAAGGGCGCAGGCTAGTAACTTAACAAAGGAAATCATGGCGTTTCTAGTATGTGCAGAGAAGATTAGAGCCATAGAATTTGGGGGGCTGGAAGGGTCTTTATCGATTTAAGAATATATCAAATCTCTTTGTTTTACTTTTGGGGAAATTAGGGCCTGCAAAGATAAAAGTACTTTATCTTTACCCCTGTAGACCAACTTTACCCCTGTAGACCAACAGGGGTAGGTTTTGGCACCAGGATCCATGGCTCTGAACTTCAGGTCCGGTATTATTCCATCATATTCTGTTGCCTTGCCACGTGTTACACAGCGACACTTGGAACTTTATGTGGGCAGTAGGCAGGACTGAGACCCATTTGTGAGCATTATGGAGACCTAGCCTACGTAAGAGATGGGAAAGTGGTCCGTGGCTGGAGTGCTCTGCCTGAGTACTCCTCTCTTCCTCCACATCTTTCTTGTAACCTTGGTCTTGCACACCTCTGGGCTCTCATAAGCAATTAGAGAAAAACTTATATAATTTATTCATGAGGTCTGAGAAGATGTTCTAGCAGAGGAGCAGAGTTGTATAGAATTTGAAAAAAGAGGGGGCGCCTGGGTGGCGCAGTCAGTTAAGCGTCCGACTTCAGCCAGGTCACGATCTCGCAGTCCGTGAGTTCGAGCCCCGCGTCGGGCTCTGGGCTGATGGCTCAGAGCCTGGAGCCTGTTTCTGATTCTGTGTCTCCCTCTCTCTCTGCCCCTCCCCCGTTCATGCTCTGTCTCTCTCTGTCCCAAAAAAATAAATAAACGTTTAAAAAAAAATTAAAAAAAAAAAAGAATTTGAAAAAAGAGGAACTAAGGAGTAACAATTTATTAATTTATCTACCACAGTGCCAAAGCAGTGAAATAGAATGGGGACAAATGTCTAGTTTTTTTCCACAGTGTATATGAAGTCTCCCATAAAGTCATTTGCCGTCTTCTGCCTTTTTTTCTGTGTTTGACAAATAGCACTCAGTGTTTATTTGGCTTCCCAGGAAAAATCAGCTGAAGATAGTTCAGTCACTGGAATGGTATAGCCCCCACCTTATAAACTAATACACTGGCATTTTAATTTCTAAAGTAGTGTTCTGTGATTTTAGTTAGCACTTGTCAGTCCTCTGGAATCTGATTATCCCTAAATGAACTAATGAAAACCAAGTTGGGGACTCTGGACTTTTGGTGACCCCTACAAAGTATAGACTTCCCATGAGATGCTGCTTCAACAGCTTCTCAGGGTCTCTCAATCTGTATATCTGGCTGTTTACCTCCCCTAACATTTCTTACTGCAAACGCTGAATCCTGGGGCTCCTCTAACCATCTTAGAGGATCGCGCTGGGTTTAAAAGCACCCAGCTAAGTCCTCAGGTAGTGCTTATTGGACGCTGACCCTCTTGGTCATTGCAGTAGGTGGGCCCGGCCATGCCGCCCCTTTCATCAAACCCAGCGTGTACTTCCAGAAAACGTGCCATCCATTTTGGGGCTTTGCCCAGCTAGAGAAGCCCTTTGGGTGGTGAGTGAAAGTGTGGAAGTTCTGCCTTGGAGGGGGACTCTCTCAGAGCTCTCTAATTGAAACTTTCTCTGACTTCATCTGCCCGTGGTGCAGAGGAAGATTGGCCCTTTTGCTCTCTTTGTTTTCTCACAGCCGTTTTGAGGAAATTTCGTGTCAGAGGACTTCCCAGAGTTTTGTTCCCCGGGTCTAGAGAGCCCTAATTCTTCGCAGTCCAAGGGTTGGTTCTAGTGGCCCTGAACTGGTCAGACCCTCTTGGATCGACCAGCAGTGATATTCAGACCAGTAACCTGTCTCACCTGAAACTGCTTCTCAGGCCTCCAAAGCCTGAATCAAGTGACCATTGTACCAATCTTGTATCGGGGCTCAGAATGTCAGTTTGCCGCTTGTCCTCGTATATAAATATAGGTCTCTCTAGATATAAAAAGTGAGAGAGTCTGTAAGTTGCTTTTTTTTTTTTTCTATACCCCCTTTCATGGGGCAAGCTAATGAGATGCATATCATTAAAGACCCGATGTTTTGTGGGACGGAGTCTTTTAAACTGGATGTGCCTGGCTTAGTCATGGCAAATATTTACCAAAAAAAAAAAAAAAAAAAAAAAAAAAAAAAAAA